GGGGGGGGGGGGGGGGGGGCGGGGGGGGCAAGGTAGAACATGCCACGGAACGCACAGGGATATCATGAGAAGAAGGAGGCGGAGGTGAACAGGGGCTCAGCGAGGGAGAAAAGGAGAAAGTGGTGCTCATCTTCTATTCTCGTCTCCACGGTCAAGCTGTGCACCAAAAAGACAATGCTCTGTAGAATCTACCCCTGGGCTGTGTTTCTCACGTTTCGGGAAAAACGAAATCCACGAAGCCTTTGCTGCTTTGTTTTGTCCTGCTTCAGCAGATTTATTCTCTTACATGAGCGCGGGGCGGCAGTAACCCTACTGCTGTACCTGTATACCGTCGACGAAGAATCCCATGCACTCAGTCCTCGCCGGCAGGCCAAGGCCCTCCTCGAAGATGCCGGCCTCGATGTCCATCTCGTCCGCCCTCTCGATGCTCTCCAGGAAACCGTTCGACAGCATCAGCCTCAACGCGACACCAGCCTCCCTGAAGAAACAAACAAAAAAAAAACGGCGGTTGGTGTGTACCAAATGCATTAACAAGAAAATATTTCGGGCGAGTGTTTACAGCGACAGGATCAGAGCCACCACACGCGATGGGCTAAGCACATACAAACATGTCCGCAGAGATACGTAGATCAGACCATTCTTGCACGACCAGAGGAAGCCCTGATCAACAGGGTTCGCAGCCTCAATATCACAGATACTGCACTCAAGACATGAAGCGTGTGCATGAAGCGTGGGCGTGATAAAGGAAACATAGAAATTCGTCATTTTGCATGAGGGACGCTCACGAAGGGTGTATGTGTCGTCCATCTTATTCTGTACCATGTGCCGTCAGTTGTGAAACTCTCAGCCGCTGCTGCAACCAACCACGAGAACTCGAATACATGGGCACCGTCGCCGCGTTTTGACATTGCTCTACAGGGTGCAGACGTGCAGGTAGACAAACAACTATGCCTAGAACACACGAATCGTGTAACATTCGACTCGAGGAATGTCCATACAGACACACAGACGGACAGACAGACAGACAATCAGGCAGACAGACAGACGGACAGACGGAGACAGACAAACAGACGAACAGACAAATAGACAGACAAAATGGTAGCAAGGTAGCCTGCAGTTGAAGGCTACATACCTGGCAACGGCGCTGTCCACGTCTTGGATCATGGCCTTGACCCTCGAGAAAAAGTGGGCCGAGAACTTTTCCAGCCTGGCCGATGATGCCGGGTCCCTCAGGAGTCGCTGGATCGACTGCGGTACATCAGACGGCAAAAAAAAAAAAAACACGAACGGGAAAATACATTGTGAATCGAAAACGCAGCAAAGACAGGCAAAGACCGGGGTACACAGTGCCAAGCTGAAAGAGTAATAGGCACGCGAAACCGTTTGAATGCAGTCAAACCATGCAAGAAAGTTAAGAAAAACAAGCAGAATACAAATGTGAGGGAGAGTTTATTAGTCTCAAAAAAACAAAACCCGCAAATTAGCCTGGCAAGGCATATTCATATCTCTGGTGTCCGCTATCTTCGTTTTGGTGTACCGAGATACCACCATCCCTGACCCCGTTCAGCCCCACGTACAGTATTCGTAGACTGAACCTCGCTTACAGTAGATTGAATGGGCTGCCGGCAACACGAATGGGCTCTTATTTTCCTGTCATCGGGACCTCCCCTACCATCCAACACGAAGAGGAAAAAAATGGTTGAATTAATGCACGATAGTGTGTCCGATTTTTTGGACCAGGTGCCATCGTTGGGCATGCACACAGTGAACGAACCTTCAAGGCGGGAATGAATCGTCCGGGCAGCCGAAGGCGAAGGAGGCGATCACGCCTCGTCAAACGAACCACCACTACGGTGTTGAATTTTCACTTGCCTTGAAGGAAAGGAATCCCGCCGACAGATGCAAAGGCGAAGCAAAGCTCGCAACCCTTATCTCGGCTAGCTCGATGTACAAGGTGCGAAATGAACCACCATCGCCGTGTTGGATTTACTTTCCTTCAACATAGTGAACGTACACCCAAAATTTTGCAAAAATGGAAAAAAAAAAAATCCACAACTTGTCCTGAATGAGTTGTTACCGTGGGTTCGAAATACTTTCTCAGCGGAACAAACAAACTTACGCAACGTTCTGCCTACAATGGACAGCCACGGCGAATTCGAACGGTCTTCCGCCAAGGACATGCACCCCCCACAAAGCTGCAACAATGCAGAACGTCATCCAACCCTACAGGTGAATAGAATGAAATATCACGGCAGCTTCGAATGATATGTTTCCAGCGCAATTTATCTCACGCTGATCCCGTCTTCATTGGAATGAGTCCCTAACTATTCAACCGCACTGGAATGGATCGCCGTCAACAGGTGGGAATGAATCATGGGTAGCTACTTCGAACGCCCCCAGCTGTTCAGATTGCTCTCGTAAGTACCATGTGGTGGTTGTCTTCGAAGACATGACCCAATGGCCCACAGCGTATACACCATTTTTTAACGCCATGGTTCCACCCGCTTTCAAACAATACCAACGCCACCTGAAATGTAGGTGGCGAAAGCCTAACGCACCGCCCATGCGATGAAATATTTTCTTATACCCCTTCGAACGACACGAGTCCATGGTATCCCCAGGCTTGCTGAACTATCCTCGACAGGTCGGTGATTACACAACCCTATGAAGTAATTGCTGGCTTCCCCTGACTCTTACGCGTGAATCGAGATGAACTTTGTTATAATTTTGCAAGAAAAAAAAAGAAAAAACACGCTCTTATGTATTTACGCACAAGACCTATCTATCGCAAAAGCGCGGTTCTGGCTGCGAGGCAGGTCGGCAATGAGCCAATCAGCTACCTGTAAGGCGAGTACCCTGACGGCGGGGTTCTTGTCGTTCAGGCTCCAGCCGTGATACCTCATCAGCTTGTCCTGGGGGATGCGACAGCGAGCGCGACCAACAAGAGTCCAATTAACTTCCTTTGTGATTCTAGTCGTCGATTGTTGCACGGCAAAAAAAAAAAAAACCGGCAGTATTTACAATGCAATTGCAATTCATACCCAAGCCAGCTTGTTTCGTGTAATCAACAACACTATTGTAGCTAGCTTCAAATTCACAAAAAAAAAATCCAGTAGCAATGCAATGCACCTCTTACCTTTACACCGTAGCCGTCAAGACAACAATCTGTTCCGTGTCTACAAGTACAGTACTGCAACAATCTTAGCTTCAATCTCTTTCTCGTCGGGTCGGGTGTTTCGGAATGCCGCGGACTAAGATGGAACCACACCACACGGCCTCCTCACCTGCCGGGGGACCAGTCGCCTCGACTATACGACGGCTCCAAGGCGCGTCGCCCGTTTGTCTTGTTTTCACTGTAGGGTGTACTTCATACTAAGTCCTATACAACACATCATATACAGATTTTAATATGCTTTGCTCGCAGAACGCTCCACTTATCCTGCGAGATCTTCGACCCGTCTCTCTCGCAAGTTCCGTCACGACACAAACGAAAAAGGAACCTACGTGTAGGTACAATACCTGCACGTAGAACTCCGGCAGAGCCAGCATGATCTTGCTCAGGCCCTCGAGAGCGATCGAACGAATAAGCGGGGACACGTCGCGGTAGCGCTTCTGGGTGATCTTCGAGAACACCTGCCAGAACAAGAACGCCGCAAAAAAAAGAAAAGAGAAAACGAGTGGGAAACCAAGATGCTGTCATAGTGAACGAAGGGATACACACAAAAAAAACAGGCTTGCAAACCGACATAGGAGAGCAAAACACAACACGCAAGAGCGTTTGTTTGCCTGATTGTAGCGGTGGCAGCAGGACCAGCAGCAGTGTGAATACGACATATTTCCGAATGCCATGTGTATATCATTCAAGCCGGCGATCAGCAGAAACAACTAAACGGCGATAACGCACACCCGAGACAACGCGTCCGTAGCAGCTGTCTCAATAGGTATCACCACATCTTACAGCGCGACTCCCCAAAGAGTAGATATCAAGGGCTTGTGCTCGCAGGATATAGCCTACGTGGGTGGACCGAACCCCATCTGCATAGGCACCCACCAGATCAGACACCGTCGTGAGCGTCTCCGTGGCGCTGAAGACACGCTCCACCTGTATTGTACCAGCCAAGGATATGCATGGCACATCATCAAAGAACGGGGGGTAAAGTTGGTGTGATACCACGTGGTAGACTTTGGGGGGGGGATTTCGCACATCTAGTAGGGAGAGCGAGCTCTGAGAAGCCGGAGTCAGGGCCTGTGCTGCAGACGTCAGTAATTTTGGTCTATCGAAGCTGTTTGAGAGAAGAGACAGAAGCTCCTCGGTGCAAAAAAAAATTCGAAGAGCCATTGCCATCCCGCACCGTACCGACATCGCGCCCCGCAACGAAACAAGTCATCGGGCACACCACCACAGCATTCTGCCGCGCGCCACAAGATCAAAGGATACAAACATTGCTTCTGTATGGAATCTGCTTCTGTATGGAATCTGCTTCTGTATGGAATCGAGTCCGCCACAAAAGGAAGGCACCGCACCGCACCCACCGTACCGCGCCCTACCGTACCTTACCGGCAAACGCCATTCAATCACGTGGGAGTGAGACGGAGCTGTACCTGGCTCTCGAGGCCCTGAATTTTCCTGGATTTTTCCGCGGCTTTCTTGCCCCCCCCCTTGCCGGCGGACGACTTGGCCGCCTCCAGCTGTCTCTCGGAGAGTCCAAGCTTCTCGCGAAGACCCGCGAGTTCTTCCGCGACGCCGAGGCCCATCTGACGGGACGGGACGGGATGAGACGGGGCGGGACGGGGGGTTGTACTTATGTAAGCGCATGGCGTAGTAGTTAGACCATTGGTCTCGCATCCTTGCAACGCCGAGACGGAGCGATATGCCGGGTTTTCGCCGGCCTAGTGCAGGCTAGGGACGGGGTTGAAAATACAAGTACGATACAGTAGTACCACAAAAAATACAAGTACAAAGGGGACGCGTTAACAGCAACACACTTTTCGACTCCACCGGAACACACAAACCATGACCAACACAAGCACCCAACCAGTTGTGTGTGCATAGAGATGATGAACGAATTCGTTGCGTTTTTGTAAGAAGAACAAAAACACAAAAACACACGACAAAAATCACAATCACCTACATGTACCTCCATGCCGGCATAGAGATCGATTCGTTGTGTTTTTGTACAAAAAAAAAAAAAACAACGACAGCAGCACTTGATCAAAAACAACAATCACCCACCTCCATGCCGGCCAGAGTGGCGGCGAGACGAATGTCCTGCGAAGCCGAGTGGCTCGAGAGGGCCACCAGCATCCCCACCACGGCCTCGAGGGTGCTGGCGTCGTGGTCGTCCCCGCGCCGGCACGCCTCCGCCAGCCTGTTGAAAACCTCGCAGTAGTTTGAACGGAAGATCCTCGCCGGCTGTATATATATTTTTTTGCGGGGGGGGGGGACACGGTTGGACACAAACACCACCGAGGTTGACGTTCGCTCCGGTTTAACCGAGGACATGGCGAGCAACCCCACACGCGCTCACCCCGCGCTGCAGGCGAGTGAAACCTCACTCTCTATATTTATTGTTAATTAATTGTATACGAAAGTCGTAATGGTACGGAGCATTGTTTGGCAAGTTATCGAGCGATGTTGTCAACTCTTTCGATCCTCATGGGACGCGTGGATTGGTGTCGTGAGCTGTGACACGAGACTTGCACCACCAATAACTGTATCTACAGCAGTACTTGTAAGGACACGTCATCTGCCCGGTTAAGAGCAAAAACCGTGCCAAATACCAAATCACTTTTGTCTGCGCGCGAAGAATGGAAAGTGACGTGCTTGAGGTCTCTCTACTGGTTTCATACGTAAAATAGCAACCCGCGGTCTTTTGAAGGAGTACCAGCGGCGACGAAGGGCATGGCGACGTGGTCTCAGCGGCAAAACACAGGTGGAGGCTGGGTGGAAGCGAGATTTTTCCGGCTACAGTATTGTAGATGGTATGGTTTTCGTCAAGTTGAGCAGCCTGCAGCACCGGTGGTGGCTCGGGCGACAAATACCCCCCCCCGTCACTACCAAAAAACTAAAATTGCAAACCCCACACACGGTAGTAACAAACAAACCTTTCCGGACTTCCCCTTTGCGGCGGGAGCCAGGGGGAAGGAGGGCGCCCCTTTCGTTCCGGGCTGCCCCTGCATGTCCTCTATCACCACCTTCAGCAGCTCCACCCACTGCTCTCCGTCCATCTCTATCACGGACACGTCCTGCCATGGGAATGGCCCCAGCAACAAGGACACCCAGAGAAGAAGGAAACAAAGAAGGAGGGTTGTTTTGGACGAAAAAAACTGAGCTATATACGGTTTCGCGTGCTACCAACTGCAGCAATAACCCCTACATACAGCAATGAACAGATGGGGGGATACTTAAACCAAAAAAAAACGGGCTTTGGTGCGGCTTCGCGTGCTACCAACAGCACCGAAAATCCCAAAAAGACACACCACAAAGAAACAAGTCAATTACCGAGGGCGGCCCGTAGGGACCCTCCGTCGAGGGGGCTCCGCAGGCGAGAAAGACGAAGTTGAGGAGCTCTTTCATGGCCTTGTCGCTGTCCTCCTTGTAGCTAGAGACCTGCACAAAGCAGCACAAACAAGACACACGAAATCGGGCATGCTCTTCAGCAGTTACAACATACAAGTATGCAGTGTCCTCCTGTAGATCGACACTTGCACAAAGCGCGCGTGCCCATGGAAAAGAAGGTATACGAAATCGGGCATGCTCTCAAGTCTTACGCAATTAAACTACACGTATGCTGCCTATATCCGAGTATATATACATGGACGGACACTGAACAACGGACGGGACGCGCCGAGATAGGAGCCGCCAACAAACCAAAAAAACAGAGTGGTGCCAGGGAATGGCATGCGGCAGCACGGCGGAGGGATACGCGTCCCTTGGGCGGGTGCCGTGGGCTCCACCTCTTCCGTTTGGTTGGGGCACCCGCAGTCCGCAGTGTAGCGTGCAAACAAACGCAAGGCTATGGCTGGACGGAAGGGATAAAACTATGATAGATTTGCAGCGAAAACCGCCACACCGATTGCTCTGCGGGGATGGATACCGACATTGCGGGTCAGTATATCCATACCGTGCACCGGCGTTCCAGGATGTCGAAACAGGCGTGCGGAGCAACAAACAAGAACAGACTCGGTCTCACAAAAGCAGGAACGACACGAGCAAAAAAAGGAAAGGCATAGTCGCCCGTTGGTTCGGGGTGTGCAGAAAAAAGTTGCTGCTAAAAAAACCCAGGAGGTATTGTAGGGGCTCTCCAGAAAACACGTCACCCGAATGCATCGCGATGGACCTCCAGTCTCTACGTACCACCTTCAATGATCGTCGTCTCGTTGTATTGGGGCAATTCTTCATTGGCACAAGCTAGCGGGTCACCGTCGGACGCAACCGAAAACGAATTGGCGGAGCAACCCGGGACAGGGAGAAAACGGGCACAAAAAATCACATGCCAACCAGTGCCACGGGCGGCTGTATACAGCCTGTGTGACCACCCCTAAGATCAACACCACAAAAGCGTTTCAAAGTAACGAAGAGAGCGAAAGCACATCTAAGAACCGGTTCTGGCACCAGACAACAGGGGGGGGGCTTGACCTACCAAGAGGGCTGACTGACCCCCTCAGCAGCGGCTGCCGGGCCAGCCGGACAACCAGAGAGAGAGAGAGCGGTGTGGTGCTTCTGCATCTGGCTTCTGTGGTAGCGATGCAAGGCTGGCTAACTTTACATCAACCACAGGAGGAGGACCATTGTTGGGGACGGAAAATCCCGCTATTTAGTTTTTCTCGCGCCAGAGCGTAGCGACGGAGGGCTGGCTCACGCTACAGCAATAGGACCACCCGAGTCTGGTTCTTGAGCTATAAATAGCGGTGCAGGGCTCTGGCCCCGCTCGCTCTACAGCATGGGGAGGATCATTGGGGACGGCCAAAAGAAAAACTCTCTGTCGTACAATACCCTTACCCTTACCCTTACCCTTACCCAGTCAGACACCACTGATGAGAGGGCGGTGTCGTTGCGGAGCACCGCCTCCATGAGGCCGTTCTCCGCCCCTCTCCCCCCCATCCCGCCGCCGACTGCTCCTCCCAAGGCGTTTCCATCTTCTCCCTCGCTCTCTTCGCCGTCTGCTTCTGCTGCTGATGTCGTCGCAGCCTTTCGGGAGGTGGGGATGCCGCCCGTGGACTTGCGTCCTCTCGCCTTCTTCTGAGGCACACAGGCAACCAAATCACCCACCAACAGCAACGAAACAAGGTGGTAGTGCAAAACGACGTTGCAGCAGGGAAATCAACGTCAGATGGACGGAAGATGTAACTGATGGTGGAATGAAGGAAGGAGTGGGACCATGGTGTCCCGACCACCCCGTGCCGAAAACAACCGTTCAGTGACGGTATTTTTTTACCGTCAACACCAACTCAAAGCAAACACGGGGCCGGACACTCTTTCCGAGAACGCGGGAGACGAGACAAGGGCCACGGCTTCCTCACACGCGGACTAAAAAATGGATGCACTCATCAAGAAACAAAAATTTTGGGACAGGAGCTCCTGCTTCCTGCTGCTTTCTGTCCCCCGGTAGGCGCTCCTCCAACAAGAAACAAGTTTCGAACTGAATGGCGCCGTTTGGGGGGGGGGGCACACCATTGGGACCGGCGCACTACACGGACGAGTTTGAGCCGCGACGGCTGTCAAGAGGATTGATCGAGAACCCCTATCTACATCTTGAAATACCCCAGCACCAAAAAAAGGCTTTGTACACCATCCTGGAACAGCAGCCTAGAACACCTGAAAATACTGCACAATTCCCTTTCTTGGAGGGCAGCAGACGAAAATGATGCTCCCAACAACAGCAGGTCAGTCCCTCAAGCTTTTTTTTTTTTTTTTTTTTTTTTTACAAGACCACGAAAGCCACTCGAACATCGGACCCGGTCGGTACTCACCACAAAACAAAAAGGCGTGGAACCTGGACTTGAGAAAACTCACACCCATGAACACATAACAAGCACACGAAATGAAGGGCATCGGAACAGCAGTCGCACACCTTGCCCCCGGTGTTCTTCGCGCCCCGGGAGGCGCTTTTCCCGGAGGGGGCCGGGGGCGCGGAGGCGCGGCGGGCGCGCTTCTTTCTGCACGCAAGAGGGAAGCACGGGCAAGGAGCGCGGTCACCTCGAGGTTCTTGAGCGGCGGAAGATATGATAGGGCTTGAAGAGATGTGTCCGTACATGTATGATAGAAAGAGAGAGAGGGTGCGTGGTCGGTAATAAATGGTTCGTGCGAACACGTGATCTTTTTCTCTTGTTGTGCGAACACGCGAAAACGGAGGAAGATATATTCGGCGATGGAACAACTTAGCTCGTGAAGGAGAGAGGGGGGGAGAGATTTGGGGGGCGAGAGAGAGATAAGGCAACCAGACAGCCAGCGAACGAAGACACAATCACAGTACATACAACAACCACACAGAGGGGCTGGGGACCTCGTGTCTGGACGTCGAGATTCCTGGGGGGGGTGATGTCACAATCTACGGGGGCCTCATGTCTGTTGTTAGTATGGGGGCGCCCATTGTACTTGGTTTAGTACCAGTCTTGGGTCGGGGGCCCCATGTCTGGACGACAACAAACGAAAGGAGAAAACCAACAATCCGTCGCAAGAGCGCACACGCCGTGCGTCTTCAAGACACACCTCTCCGACACACCAAACCGTCTTCTTTCGCAAGCAGGCGTTCACATGCCTCCCGGGTGCCGCACGGAACGCCCCCCTAAGCCCAACAACAGCAACACAGACAACACGGAGCCCGCCCGCACAGCAGCGTACGTGCTTCACATGTCTTCGCGGAGCACCACCCCCTTGTCCGCTCGACAACAATAACCGCGGCGCCCCCCGCAAGCGAACACGAAAACGCCTCTTTTCTTGCTCAAGACGGCCAGGACAAGGATTGGTGGTCAAGCGTCACGCACAGACCAATGTTCCAAGATCAGGACTGCAATCTGTAGGAAACCCTGCTCCATCCCTCCTCCTCCTTCTTCATTTCCTCCGCTCCTTTCACAGCAGCAGCGGAATCACAACGCGTGGAGCGGAGGACCCCCGTGGAGGGGGGGGGGGGGGGGGGGACGCCGTCTCACTGGCCCCTCTCCGCCCGAAGGCACAAACACGTGCAACAAAAACAGGCAGCGTACCTCTTTCCCAACGCCGACTTCTCTTGCGGGTCTTCCTCTTCCTCCTCTTCTTCCTCCCCCTCGTTTTTCTCTGCCCCCTCTTCCTGCTCTTCCTCTGAAACCCGGCCGTCGTCACTGCTGACGCCGCCGTCGCCGCCGCCGCCGCTACGCGATTTTCTCGCTCCGCCCCGCCCCCTCCCCTTTGCCGCCGCCGTCGTCTTTGCCCCGCGCGTGCCAGCGGCCGTCTTCTGCTCTCTTGCTGGGCCGCCGGCCGCCGCCAGCAGTCCTGTTCCTTCCTTCGTCTTCGCTCTATGTAGGAACGGGGAGAAATTAAATACGAGATAAGGAACAACGACAATATGTTGGCGCCAACAGCAGCGGGCAGGCGTATCATCTGCCTGCCGCCACATCATCCTCTCTCTCTCTCTCTCTCTCTCTCTCTCTCGATGCCTCTTAAGTCTGCCTGTCTATTTCTGTCGTCCGCTACATTTTGCTAGGCATCATCACGTCTTTTCTGATCTTCCACCTAACCCTAACGCTAAGAAAAAACGCAGAGAAAAGGCGGACGGTGATATTTTTGTTCGGCGTGCCCTGATCTGATGCCTCCAAGGCGACGGGGGGGCCCGGCGAAGGAGATCACGTACCCACACGTGCGCACAAACGGCAGGTGGAGACATCACGTAGCCCATGAGACCTCCTGGTTTTCTTTCACTAACACGCCACCACTTTTCCCGATACGCCCGCAAACTGGTCATGTAACCATGGTGCGGGGGGTGGTTTGGGTTATTTCTCTTGTGCTGGTGCACTGGTATCAACAAAACACGACAAGCCGATCAACAACAACGTTATCAAGACCTCTGCGTGCTGTCTGCCGACTGAGAGTTCACCTGCTGAGACAGCTGCTCCTCGGACGCTAGGGGGGCGGTGTCGTAAACCGTCTGGGGCTTCCTCCGCACCCGACTGCTGCTACCCCTCCCGGTCATCCTCTCTCGGACGGTAGATACAAGCCCGCTTCTTTCTGTATCTCGTGCGCTTCACTCGTCCCTCTGCTCTTCCTTCCTTGTTGTGCCGACTGCGATCGTTCCCTCTCAGGTGCTGCCGCCTTGTAACGGGCCTATGAACGGGCCGTTACAAGATTTAAAGGGGCGGCGGCGGCGGCGGCGGCGGCGGCGGCGGCGGTTAGCCTGGTGCATGGGGGGTCTGTTTGTTGTCGAGTGCGCGTCGCTCTACAACATCTCCGCCCTTGTTACCCCTCCTCTTGTGCACTTGGCTGTAACACCCCTGTGGCCAGTCGGGGCCACTTGACTTGGAGGTGAGCCTGGGGGCACATTATCGAGCAAGCAAATGCTGTGCGTCTGGGAGACACCATCATGGTATCGAAATTCACGGCAGACGTGATTTTGTACTCCAAGTCTACCATGCACCATGTACTGCTGTTTAAGGTTATTCAGCACATCTTGATCGGCACGGGTTGCATGTACTGCTGTGTCGTTCAAATACGAGCCGCCGTGTAGAGCCTGTGCCTCTTGGAGCGCAAGGGACGTCATTCCTCTCTGTACCTCCCTCTCTTCATGCGTGTTTCGGTGGCGCGCGCTTTCGTTATTACAGCAGAGTCAAAGGGGTGTGTGCGAGTGCAACACTGCGTCAGCACCAGTCGACAGCATACTAAGCAGTACTGCTGTAGTCAACACATCCCTTTCGACTGCCTGTGGTATTATTCTTGTCTCAAACGGGCAGCATAGTCTTTCTGTGAGATTGTGTCTCCTTCCTTCTAAAAAAGACCCACAGCAGCAGTCAACAGCGGGCGGGGGGATCGATCGATGAATAATGGGCCACCACAACAGAGCTGTGAGATTGTGTTGCAAACAACGACACGCCCGGAAGCTTCGACCAGAATTGTCGGTGCTTCGAGGCTATAACAGGTGTGTCGATACGTAAGATGGACAACAACTTTGAGACTGCTGCGGGCGGTGGGTGCACGAGCAACGAATTCGTTCAGATGCCTTACAACACCTGTACCGAGATTTGAATCCGCGCCTGAAATTTGAAATCTGAACCATTTAGATGTATCTACCTGCTGAACTCCAACAGGTAATGTATGAATTTCACATTTCCTTTCGCTTTACAAAGAGACGAGGGTAACAACGTTCAGAACAAGGGAAGACACCGATCGAGAAAAGAACAGGTTGGGCGGTTGGACGCCATACTCCAACCCCAATCAATGCAACCGCCGTGTGGCGTTGCTACAACTCACTCTCTGTGAGCAAAATTTTGAAAATGGAGTCCATGTTTCTCAGTGCGTCGAAAAGGAGAGGGCAATCAAGCACCGCGACACCTGATGGCCAAGCAACAAGACGTATAGGAAATGACTGGCTCTCCCTCTTCTTACCTGATGCACCAGCTCCCTGTTGCTGTGGTGCACAACAATCAATGTCATGTACACAGCAGGACTCCTTGGCAGCTGCGCAGCCGTGGCCCCGTGAAATGAAGGAAGAAAACCTTGGGTACCCCTTGTTGCCGGGGCAAGCCCGCTGCTGGGTGTGTGATGCCTTGATGTCACCACGTCAACACAGAGCGTGGCGTAGAGACCAAGACAAAGAGGAAAGCAAAGGGGTTGGTCAAAGCCTAAAGGGGGTAGATCTTGCAGCATCTGTCTGCCGGCCATGGCTACCTCCCGGGACATCAAGGAGAGGAGGAGAAGGAGGGGCCGAAGAGGAGGGGAGCTGGCAGCAGCTTTGGCCCTCGTGGTAGGAGGCGTTGGGGTATGCAGGGCTGCCGCCTCCACGACGCATGGTGCCGCCGGTGGTCCTACCTCTTCTGCTGCCAAGATAGGTGGGAATTAGCGGCGTACGAAATGGGCGGAAGAAGCCTCTGCACCTTGGTTGAGCGTATCGCACAGGGCGTTTGTTGGCTAGAAAACATCTTTGTCTCATCAGCCCTCAGGGTATCGAAGGAAGGAAACAAACGAACCAGGTGGCAGCGGCATGTTGTTTGTAGTAGATGGTGGTGAAGTGAAGTGCATGTACCCAATGTTTCGCTTTGAGTTCTCTTTGCATCACAGCGGCTGTGTATACCTGCTGCCGTGCGTAGCTCCCCGCAGGGCTCTAAAGCCAGGCGGAATGCATGCGGTCGGTACGTGCTCGCACGCGGCCTGCGGCACCGGTAGCGTGTGAGGCAACGACGGTAGTTGATGTATTTCATACTCCGTAATTCGCCGCGGGCCGTTTGGTGACTTCAAACACAGATTTTAAATTCGATGAAATATGTGGGTTACTCGTGTTGTTTGCCTCATTCGGGGGCTGGTATATATCGTGCACCAGCTGCAGGCGCTACTCCTGGTACGAAGTGCCACCAGCGGATCTTTCCGGCAATCTCCATCCCATTTCCCTGTCAGTTTTTTCGTTTCAACTCGGAGAGCGTTTGGGACAGCAGAAGATTCAGCACATCGAAACAAACAGACAGACATTCCCTCCGTCAGTTTGGTTTTTCTGTTCAACGGTTGGTGCTTCAAGCAACACGCAAATCGTGTCCCAAGAGGTGCTGTAGTCTAGACTGGTGCCCACAGCAGACAAGATGTGACGAAAACACTTTATAACACACACAACAAACACATACGGGTTCGCCATTTCCAGACAGACGCTGCACATAGCATCAGTTCAACGGATGTGTTGACAACAGCAGTAGCGAAAGATCTTCGAAATTGGAAAACCGGATTTATTTTGAGTCTCCTCTTTTTCTAGTACAAATTCTTGCAAGACTCCGTTATTCCGGCCGGTTCACTAAGTACGACTTCACCTTCTAGAGATGCGAGATCTTGGGCGTAGAAGGGCCGTCATGATGCATCCAGCCGGGCGTCGTGATGCATCAAGCGGGGGAGCCGGAGGAATGGTAGGTTGGGGGAGTTTTTTTCAGGGCACTGCCCGCTCCTGCCTCCGATGCAAACCTGAAGAATGAATTATCATTGTGTGTGTGCGACCTACATGTTGTAGGCATGCCGCCTACGCAAGAGGTTGGGGAGAATTCCTCCTGTGTCGTGCGCTAGTAGCTAGGAATACTAAAGAGCTGCGGCAACTAAAGGTCGAGCTCGGGGGACCCAATTATAAGGAGAGAGTCCCGTGTGTTGTGTTTTTTGTTCGGGTTTCCTCTCGCGGCCTCCATCTGCTGTGCCGTGTGTGGCGTGGGACATCCCGCCGACGTCTCGTGTGTCGTGCCTTTCGAACGAGATAAGACCGTAGTTTGAACGCGCAGGTTGGTTTTTGGAGATACATAAGAGACACTTGTGCATATGTTGTGTGTGAAAACATGCCAACAATATAATGCGGCAACGACCACACACAGCCCCGAACAAGAACCATGCATGCAATCTTCGCGTATTAAGAACGACGCCCGTTAAGGTTATCGTTGTAGTCATTCTGATCCTCTTCGTACACGGATGCGTCTGCCGCCACCCCCCCCCCCCCACCCCCCCCCCGGGCCCACCACCCCCCCCTCAATTATTTCTTTTTCCAAAATTAAATTTACTTGCCTTGGGAAACCCCACCACCACTCCCCCCTTCTAGGGGGGCGAAAACCCTTT